ATTATAGGCCATAAGCATGGAATATTCTGACTCCATCGGTCCCCAAACCAAGTCAGTCATGCAAGAGGAGCTGGTCCTGACAATAGGGTACTTGTGGCCCCCATCTTGAAGACTGCCCTAAATTGGGAAGCCTTACCCCATCTACATTCCCTTAAGTGGGTAACATGAGCTCTGACCTCTTCCAAGACCATATTACTATGAGTGAGGGTCATATCCATGTGTCAGTAAAATGTTACAATATGAATTCAGGGTATGTCTTACATCTGGGCAGTAGTCACCCTGGGGGCCAGTCCTCAGCTGATAGGCTCCCAGATGCCCCACAATGTTGCTGGAGACAGTGCAAACAAGAGGCTGTCTCCATGTTCCTAACTGTGGTTAGTGGGCAGGGCCATCAGACACCTTGCTCAATCCCTTTTTCAGAGAAAGGTAAGGTTTCTTCAGCAACTCTAGATGTTCCTTTAACCATGACATAAACATTAGACTGAGGCCTTTCTCACCTAATTGGGAGGTTAAAGAGAATGTGGCCTGAAATTGTGCTCGCAGCCTTGGCTGCACCGCCGCCACTCTCTAATGCCAGCGCCGCCTCTCGCTAGCCGAGCTCCAGCCGAAGGAGAAGGGGGGTAAGTAAGGAGGTGCTTATACCATGGCTTGTACAAAGCAGACTGCCCGTAAATCCACCGGTGGTAAAGCACCCAGGAAAACAACTGGCTACAAAAGCCACTCGCAAGAGTGCGCCCTCTACTGGAAGGGTGAAGAAACCTTATCGTTATGAGCCTGGTACTGTGGCACTCCATGAAATCAGATGCTATCAGAAATCCACTGAACTTCTGATTCACAAGCTCCCCTTTCAGCGTTTAGTGCTAGAAATTGCTCAGGACTTCAAAACAGATCTGCGCTTCCAGAGTGCAGTTATCGGTGCTTTGCAGGAGGCAAGTGAGGCCTATCTGGTTGGCCTTTTTGAAGATACCAACCTGTGTGCTATCCATGCCAAACGTGTAACAATTATGCCAAAAGATATCCAGCTAGCACGCTGCATACGCGGAGAACGTGCTTAAGAGTCCACTATGAGGGGAAACATTTCATTCTCAAAAATTGTTTTCCTCTTCTTCCTGTTATCCGTAGTTCTGAATGTTAGATATTTTTTCGGGGGGGGGGCGGTCAAAAGGTACCTAAGTATATGATTGCGAGTGGAAAAATAGGGAACAGAAATCAGGTATTGGCAGTTTTTCCATTTTCATTTGTGTGTGAATTTTTAATATAAATGCAAGATGTAAATAAAGCATTAATGCAAGCAAAATGTTTCAGTGAACGCTTTCAACAGTTCAACTTTATAACAATTATAAATAAACCTGTTAAAATTTTCTGGACAATGCCAGCATTTGGATATTTTTAAAATAAGTAAATTTCTTATTGACGGCAACTAAATGGGTGTTTGTAGCATTTTTATTATACAGTAAATTCCATCCATTCACTATACTTTTCTGAGTTGTCCTACATGCAAGTACATGTTTTTAATGTTGTCTGTCTTCTGTGCTGTTCCTATTAAGTTTGCTATTAAAATACATTAAACTATAAAAAATGTGGCCTGTATCATCCCTGAAAGGTTAAGGGGAAGGAGGCAGCTCTCCAGGGCCCCCTAGGGCAGGACAGTGCACAGCAGAGGAACCAGGAGCTCTTTGTCAAGACAGGGACCAGGCAGGAATTGGCAGGAAATTCCTTGGGAGCCAAGTACATCCAATCCTTGTGCTAGGAAGGTCCAGAGGAATGGTATTCCACTTAGAGTTTATTAATCAGAGTTCTGTATCTGGATGACAATTTATTTGTCATGGGATTAGAGCTGCTGGAAGGGACAGAGGTTTATGCTAGGCTTACCACCTTTATGCCTGCAGCTGAAACTGAAGTTAGTTTGACTAGAACCAGGAAGTGGAAGAGGATGAGGATGCAGAAGCTACTTGGCCTCTCGCTATCTCAAACCTCCACCATGGAAGAGCTTTCTCACAGAACTGCACTTGGCCTTCCACAAAGTGTTGTTGATAAGCAGTTCCATGTGGTCTGCAAGGACTTTGGATTACACTGAACCAAGCTGGGCATGAAACAAAAGAACAACTTCTGGTTTATTTCTGCTGTGGTCAACCATAACCTAAAGCCTTAAAGGTAATTAGGAAAATTAGCTCCAGATTAGTGCCATGGGCACAGTATGCTTAATACTTGCTGTCTGTGGTCTGGGAGCATCTCCTTGCTCCCTCTGCCTGCACCGACACTATGTACCTACAAATATTCACCTTGTGCTTCACAGGTGCATTGTCCTCAACTTCCCAAGGTCCCAATAACTTCCCAGTAGGCCATGTAGAACACCCAGTGCCACATGCATGTCACTTTATGGCACAGGATTGGATTACTGCTCCAATTAAAGAGAGTTGGGATTCCTAGGGAGTCACTGAGGGGTAATGCAGTCCCAGGTAGCTGAAGAGCAAGGCCACCACCTCTGCAGCAGATCTGGTACATAGTTCACACTTGGCTTGGTGTGACCTCTTTGTAAAACTGCTATGTCCCAGCCAAAATCAATGTATCTGAAATGTGACAGTGGCATAACTGGCAACAACTTAAACCATGATAATATAACTTGTCTGACCTCAGACAGGGGCCCTGAACTTTCAGAAAGGCTCTGAAGCCTGCAAGATAGATGCTGGTAAGAAGCAGCTGCCAGCCCTCTGTGGGCTACCTACCCTAAAGCCCCAAATCCTCCTTACCCTTTGGCAACCCACTCATGGCCTCTAACCCTGAGTTCAGAAATGCCCCCCCCAGAGTAAATGCTCACACAGTGTCTCTTTAATTGCTCAGGGCCTTTACACAGCCAGTTCTATGGATATAATGCTGAATATAATGTTCACACTGCGTAGTTGGGAGCTACAACGGCTTAAGGAAGGACTCATGGTTGACAGGTACTCTGCTTTAAACCCTGAGCTACATGTAACCCCACAGCCTATGCTAGCCTAGGCATCTGGCACTGTTATTGAACAAGACTGAAGGCCAGAGGCTAGAGGCATTCAGTTTACCACAGGCCTCAGGTCACAATGTGGCTCACAGCTGGCAGAATAGCAAAAGGTTAAAAGCGGCATTATGGTTAGTGTTAACTTAAACTCCACGTGGTGTTGCCCCTAAACTGAGAAAACGAGCATCAACAAAACTCATTTTGTATGTTTTAACAGACAGCCTAGCAGTTAAGAGCACTTGCAAAGGACCACAGTTCAGACCCCAGTACCCACATTGAGCAGCTCACAGCCACTTGCAACTCCAGCTTCAGTGTATCCAATATCTTCTTTTTGCCTCTGAAGGCACCTGCATAAATGGCATAAATAAAAATAAATAGGGCCTTGTATGTACCTGTAGCCTAGGCTGGCCTGAAAGTCCCTGCATGGTTAAGCTACAACTATAAGTCTAACAAGTGCTGGGATTAGTCATGGGCCATCATGTCAGGCTGGCAAAACATTTGGAAAAGTCCAAATTAGACCAGTAAAACTGAAATACAAATCATCTCTGAAATAAAAGCTCTCGTCAATCCCTAACATGCCTATTGAAGTACTTAATGCTTACTATCAGTAACGACATATCCCATGGGTGGCAAGCTGAAATTTGATACTCCTGTAAGCCTATTTCATACCCAACTGCCCAAGAAAATGGTGAGACACAGCTGAAATAGCCAAAACATTTATTAATGAAAAACATTTGATGAAATAATTGAACAAGGTAAAGCACTGGTAAGAAACACATTATAGCCAGCAGAAACTATAGTTCCAAGACTTCACTCCTACTGGGGCTCTGAAAGCACCTTGGGGCCCCTCACCATTTTCTCCCTTTTCAAAAATCCAAGATGTGCATCTTATCAAGACAATGGTTTCTGGCAATACTCATTTACTTTGGAGGATAACCTCAAGAGGTCACACACTGTGGGGTGGCCCTACCCTATTATTGACACAGGCCAGTTATAGGACATCAGAAATCACAAAACAGAATACCCTACCAAGTTAGAGAAAATAAGAGTCATGACTAACAACTTGAATAAAACAAAAACATTGTGTCCAAGCCCCTCCCAGGCCCATGGCTTCTTGCCTATGCAGATCAATCAAGTTACAGTCAAAAGGTAGGCATCAACCAGTATCTTGTCATCTTCTGTTCTTCCTGCTGGTTCCTGTTGCTGGACTTAGGGGTCTCTGGAAAGGACCTGCTCAGGTAAAAATGCACATATCTGGAAAACAATTAGTCAGTGATGGCTGACCTAGGTTCACACTGAGAAAGCAGACAAGTAGTTCACAATATGGGCAGATAAGACTTGACTAGAACAGCAGCTCACTGCAGGCCTCTGTGTGGAAGTGGCTGACTGGGTACTCTGAACTTGCACTTGCCCAGGTTAATGTATCTCATGGCTTTGCACAAAACCAATGGAGTAGAGACTGTGTATGAAGGTGAATGCTCTGGACAGCTGGGTCTCTATGAGGCAGACAGATAAGGGTGAACCATACCCTGTCATAGAAAGCAGTCTGCCGAGAGACTGCAAATGGGAGGAGGTGAGCTGCCTGTGTTGGGAGAACAAAGTAGCTGAAGATATTGGGATGGCCACTTTCCCACATCTTTCAGACTAGACTAGGTGGCTTCTCAGGCCACATTCTTAATTCTGGGGCTTGGACCTCAGCAATGTGTTTCAGGCAAGTCAAGCCAGAACAGTTTTGGACTAGATCTGGAGGTGACATTGTCATGGGAAAGGGCACCTTTCCCCATTCCATTTGGTGGCAAATGTAGTCACCTGGATAACTTGAATGGGAGGTGGTGGTGGTTGCCAGGACCCCTTCCAGATTTGAAGGAGGGAGCTGGGTTAAGACTAAGCAAAACCTTTTCTGGGCCCTGCTGTACCTTTGGGGTTAAAGCACAGGCCTTGGGCTTACATTGCCTGCCTCTAGGATTTAGCTGCCTGAGGTAGGAGGAAGCCCCTGGGTGTTCTGAGCCTATTTGCCAAAGAAGGATTTGGAGTGACTAGCTTCCCATGCCCCATTCTCATCTTCTGACTCTTCCTCTGGGACAGACTGCCCTGCTTCTTGCTCCCCTGCAAGGGCCAAGCTCTCAGGCACATCAGGGCCCTCAGTGGGACTTGCCTGGCCTGAGCCAGCAGGGGGCGACACATTTTCATCTCTCTGGGTGACAGAGATGATTTTGGCCTCAACAGAGTCAGGGCCTTCCTTTGTGGCATCATCACTAAAAGGAAGATCCTCAGCAGCTTGCTCAAGCACAGCACCAACAGCCTGGCCAGCATCTTCACTGGCTGGGAGGACCTCTCTAACATCAGGGGCAGGCTCAACACCCCCAACACCCACAAGGGAAGACTGGGCCACATCCAGCTCTCCACCATGCACTTCCACCCCTTCCCCCACTCGGACCACTGCATTTTCAGCCAGAGCTGCCTCCCATGCTTCAGTCTCCCGGACAAGCCTAAGCAGCCCCAGAAAGCCAGGTGGCCTCCTCTCTAACCGCATCCTCCTCAGGTTGTTCTGCAACATCTGGTTGGGCCGCGCCCTCATCAGCACCTGCCGCGCCCTTGCCTGATCTACCATTGCAGGCTGGATGGCCCCCTTCTCCATGGCCATCTGCAGCAGACCTTCCAGGCGCATCACATAGGCAAAGAGGGTTTCCTGAGGTCGCTGGGAGCAAGTCAGGAACTTCAGCCTCGCAGTCACCACAGTATCCTTGTTGCCAAACACCTGCACCAGTGCAGCCAGGCAGTCCTGTGCAGGGGTGTCTGGGTGCTCTTCTAGAAGCTCACAAAGCATATCCAGGGCAGGGCCCCCCAAGCTCTCCACTAGTCGCCGCCTCCTCTCCCTCTCAGATATGTGGCGCCACAAGTATAGCATGTCATTGGCATGGTCCAGCCAGCTTTCAAAAGACTGACCCCCACAGCCAGGCTCTTCTGTACCAGAGAAGTGTCTCAGTTCCTGGTAGGCCATATTTTCCAGGATGGGCTGCAGGGCTTGGCTCCACTGCTGGGTCCAGGCTCCAGCCCCATGTGCTCCTCCTGCCACGTCAAAGGCCCCTTCTTCACCTAAACCTCCTGCCTCACCTGCGGCTCCTGCCAACCCCACAGCTCCTATAATGCCTGCAACTCCCATGTCACCTGCAGCTCCCTCTTCATCTGACATTCTTGCTTCACCTGCAGCTCCTGCCTCATCCTCACCTACAGCTCCTGCTTCACCCACAGCCCCTCCGTCATCCACAGATCCTTCATCTCCTGCAGACCCCTCATCACTCCCAGACCCTTCATCACCCACAGACTCTTCATCACCTGCAGACCCCTCTTCACCTGCAGACCCATCATCACCTGCTCCTGCCTCTAAAACACCTCCTTCTCCTGCAGCTCCTACCTCACCTGCAGCTCCTGCCCAACCTATAGCTCCTATAACACCTGCAACTCCCATGTCACCTCCAGCCCCTTCCTCATCAGATATTCTTGCAGCCCCTGCCTCAACTACATCATCTTCCTCATCCATAGCCCCCTCATCTGAAAGTCTTGCTTCTTCATCTATTACTCCTGCCTCATAAATAACTCCTTCCTCATCCTCTGACCCTTCCTCATCCGATTCTCTTGCCTCAGCTTCAGCTTCTTCCTCAGCTACTCTTTCTGCCTCACCTGCTCCATCCTCATCCTCTATCTCTTCCTCAAACGACACTCTTGCCTCAGCTGCAGCTCCTTCCTCCTGTAGGAAGGAGACAGGAGCTGGACCTGCTCCTCCTTCCTCACCCACCATTCCGGTTCCTTCCTCGTCTGACACTCTTGCCTCATCCTCAGCTGCTCCTCCTGCTTCACCCTCAGCCCCTGTCTCATTTTTATCTCCTTCCTCAACTGCAGCCCCTGACATACCTGAAACCCCTGCCCCTCCTGAAGGCCCTTCAAAAGCTTGCCCATGGGCCTGTGTAGGGAAATTGAATGTATCTTGTAACTCTATATCAGGCACCCGAGGCAGGAAGATCACAGTCCAGGGCCCCCTCTCATTTGGTATTTCTTGGGGGATCAAACTTTGGTTTAAATTATCAGCAAATTCAACCAAAGCGACCTTTGCCCCTATCTCCTTTCTGAAGACCTTGCCAAGCACTCGGTACCTGCCCAGGGGTCTAAGGGCAGCCTGCACAGCCTCCTGGAACTCTTCTTCCTCACAGTCATCGGGGATGCCCAGGATGAGCAGTGAGCGCTGGGCATTGACACCCATCCACCCGCACCAGTCCTGAAGAATGGCCAGTGCCATAGCGGTGGACTTAGAAGGGAACATGACCAGACAGTGCTGACTGTAGCAGTCTCCTCCTCAGCCTGTGGGTGGAAAAAAAAAAACAGAAAAGCATGTTGCTTTCAGGCAACCACCAGGAGCCACCAAGCTGCCCCACAAAATATGGAGCCATTATTACTACTTGTCCATTTTGCTTGATTTTTAAGAAAATCTTCGACAAATTAAATCTATCTGTAATATACAGGGCTAGTTATATTTCATATTTTATCTGGTGGCAGTTTTATTATGTTGTCTCCCCTAAGAAACTTGCAATTTCTAAGTTTTTAAGTTTTGGTGAAAATCTGCACTTATATTCCATTCTCCTTGTTAATGTCTGCATTACAATATATTCTTTTTCATTCCAGATACTAGTTTTTGTTTCTTTATCTTGATCAGTAGTGCTTACCAGTTTTACAATTTTTTTTTTGTTTTGTTCGTTTTGTTTTTCAAGACAGGGTTTCTCTGTGAACCCTTGGGTATCTTGGAACTCGAGCTATAAACTAGGCTGGCTTCAAACTCGGGAATCCTCCTGCCTCTGCCTCTTGAGTGCTGGCATGAAAGATGTGCACCTCCAAAAAATCAGCTCCAGTTTTACAACTCTTTAAAGGGACACTTGTATTATTTATATACATTGCTGATTTCCTCAACTATGTGTGACAAGTCTTCACTTTACATTTTACAAATTAGATTTACTCCTGGTCCTGGCTCTAGCTTTTTTAAAAGGACTGTTGGGTTACTGTGTAGTGAGATAGTCCTTCTGTGGCACTGACCACGCCCATTGGGGGGTGGAGCCATGGGCGGAAGTGACCTGTGGAAGGAGGTCGGAGGGGGCCAGGAAGGGCGCTCTCTTTCTGGCGTGACTCGGACAGGAGACTCGGACAGGAGAGGATCGGGTTGAATTTCCTGGTGTTCATCTGTCTAGGTTGTAAGTTATTCCTCCCTGAATAAACATCTATTCGGCCTATTTGTTTATCCTGATCCTTATTTACTGCAATATCACTGTCTTAGGCATTTGTTCTTTATTTTTGTTACATTTTTAAAATGTAGCATATTACACACTTGTGTGTAGATGCATGTGTCTCATAAAAGTACCCTGTACAGATCAAGACAAGTGTCAGGAATCAGTGCTAAACTTCCACCTGGTCAGCCTGCGTAATCAAGCTCAGGTTGCTGGGATCCTTTACCTTCTCAGTCTTTTTGTCAGCCCATATTTATTCTTTTCTTTTCTAATAGAAATGTCTAAAACAGATTTCTGCTAGTCCCTTCTTTATTTGCCCTCCTAATTTAGGCAAGTTATAGTTTTTTATTATTGAATTTGAAATCTTTTCTTCTAACTAAATTTATCTTCAACGCACAAAGCAAATCATAATTTTTTGACCCACAGAATTCCAAACATTTACTCATTTCAGATAGAATTACATCGTGGTTTAAAGGGCCTGCATACTCAAGTGCAATCCTTTTAAATGTTTCATATTTTGCCAGAGAATTCCTAGCTTCAAATGATCCCCTTGTCTCAGCCTGTTGCATATCTGTGAATACAACAAGTGCACATTACTGCTTGTTACTTAAAAAGATATGTTTTTTAAATGTAGTGGCTGAATGCATGTGTGTACAATGTAGTACAATCTATAGGACTGCTGGGCCTTCCAATCCCAAGTGCACAGCACCTGTCCCCTGATTTGTCATTTCCTTTCCACCCACCAGTTCAAGTGCAGCAAGTAAAGGTCTCTGATCCTCTATCATATTCATCTCAAGAAGCCACTCAGCCTTTTCTTTTTTTGTGCTCTCCGTCCTGTGGCAGTGACCAGTTCTTCCCATCTGCCCCACACCCCTGCCACTTATTTCTGTCTACGGGTCAAATACAAGGTCGTGGCACATGGCAATAGACAAGAGCACTCAGCCAGCAGCAAGCTTCTATTGGTCAAAGTGCAGAGTGCTCCCAAATGCTTAAATATTGTTGGTCTCCTTAGGCCTTCCTATACTAAAAAGCTGTAGGCTTTAGTTACGTCCGAAGCCAGCAGGTATTCATTTCTTCGTCCCTGCCATAATTGGGGTACCGCTGTTCCCGGACCTTAACACATGCCCCACAACTAAGGGTTGTTCCACCAGGTGGAAGATAGTACGCCATCTCCCCGAAGGCATGCGCACCCCCTGCCAACAGCGCCCCTCTCCGTTTCCTTCCTCCATGCTGAGCATGGCCGTCACGAGCATGGCCGCCACGAGCATGGCCGCCATGTTGTACTCAAAAGGCCGCCCTCGGTGCCTCAGAGGCCCAACCTGTTAGCCGAGCAAGGACGAAACGCGCGTGCGCACACATTCCTTCTCTACGGTGCAGAGTCTGTTCTGTATGGTTCTACCATTTGTTCAGTGGCTCAACCTCCGACCGCTGTACCGCATCCCTCCTTCCACGTGTTTGCTCAGACCGGCGGGTGCCACGGCACACTACACGTCGGCACGTGAACACCCACGCACGCCATTACAAGCCAGGGCCCAGTCCCGTACAGCCCGACCTACCGGGAAGCCTGAGGTGTAGCCTACGGCACGTCACTACCGCCCCGGGGAAACGGTCAGTATCCAACCGGTCCCCTCTGACGTCCTCCTCACAGAACCTGCAGACAACGAGTAAAATCCCCTCAGCCTTCTGTGTCCCCACGCAAGCGACCAGACTAGGCCGAACACAGTAGGCCTCGCTCAGGCGGATCCCACAGGGCCCTCGCCAGGCCCTCGCCAGGCCGTCGCCGGAGCCTACCTGGCACCTCCGGACAACCCGGCCTGCGCCCCAGTGGCCAACCAATGTCCCTACCTGATTGTTCACTTTCCCCGACTCTGCTCCCCTCAGGACTCCCACGCGCGACTGTTCAGAGTCACCTCAGTGAGCGGCCGAACTGATGTGTGAGGCTCTCACTCAGCGGACGAACTCCCAGAACCCCCTATTTCTCCCAGAAGCCTCCTCTACATTTGCGAGAAAATTCTAGAGACCTCTATAGCAAATGATTGGATCAATAGCCCTTGGGGGCGGAGCCAATGTTAACAGGGAACATATCAACCAATGTAAAGGCTCAACATGGGCAGGCTTTAGATGTCTAGAAGTTATAAACACGCTCATTGGTCCTTGTTCTAGTCATTTTGACGGAGGTGTAAAGAAGCTGCTCGACACCAAGGGCGACTACCGGCGTTCTATAATCGATCTTGAAGCTTTCTTATTCAGTTGAAAAGCATAAAATTTAAGGTTTTGCAATACATTTCCCCACATATCATGATGACTTTTAATCTTAGGGACTTTAGTTTGTTCTTTCGTTTATTCGTCTGTTTGTTTTTCGAGACGGAGTTTCTCTCGGCAACACTCCTGGTTGTCCTGGAATTCACTCTGTAGACCAGACTGTCCTCAAACTCAGAGAGATTTGCCTGCCTCTGCCTCCGAGTGCTGGGACTAAAGGTGTGCGTCACCTTAGCTGATAGTTTTTACCCTTTATTTTCTATTATAAACGTCACATTTGGAATTGACTTTCTTAAAGCCTCCCATTTGATCCTCAACTCAGAACAAATGCAGGAATGGTGATGAACACTGGTCATCCCGGCTCTTGGGGAATAGACACAGAAAGAGGAGGAGTTTAGGGTCATCCTCAACTACATAAAGACTTAGAAGCCAGCTTTGGCTATGTGACTCCATCTGAAGAAAAAAAAAAGGGAATAAAAAGCTATTTATTATCAGGCGTGATGATGCAAACCAACAATTTTAGATATTAGGAAAGCGGGGGTAAATTAGTCAAAGCCAGATTGTACAATTTAGAAACACTCTGATGAAATAAAGAGGAAAAAGAAAATAAAAGAAGGTTCACCTCAGGAGCATGGTACTTACCTCCATGCACAAGTCTCGGGTTCAATTCTCATGCTCCCAGGAAATGGGAGGAAAGCTATTTCCTTTTTCTTAGACTTACTCTCTGTGTGTTGTGTTATTGTGCATCTCTTACTACCACCGCATTATAATTTTTTTGACTCTATAGGGACCAAAAGCTCAAAAACCTTTATTGGATTTTTTTTCTACCGATATCAAACTTTGGATACTTCTTCCTCAACCCCAGAGTAGTTACATTTGCAGGCTTGTACCATCAGACCTGACCTAATTTTTTTCAATAATTTTATCCTCCAGTGCATATAGAGAAATTCTTTATACATATTTATTACACTTTATATTTCTCCATAGAGCATCACAGATCGATTATTTTCATTTTTTCTTTTTTTTTCTTTTCTTTTTATTTTGTTTAAATATCTTATCCTCTCAGCTTTCCAGAATGAATAATTTCTCTTCATCTATGTTCAGGAACTTTTTATTCATTTTTTTGTGATCTACAATCTGTTAGAATGATCAAATTAAAAGTACTCTATGTTTTATTTCAATTATGGATTAATAATTTTTTCATCTTTGACTGGGTGGAATGTTTAAGAAACACTCTTAGTATGTAAACCCAAGATGTCCTATAACTCACTAAATAACCCAGCCTGTTCACACAATTTCTGCTATTCTATCTTGCCCTCTGGAGTACGGAGTTTACAGGCATATACCACTATACCTAACTCATAGCTGTTCCTTTTCAATACTTTTTCCATGCTGAATTTTTATATCATTATAAACATGATTTATAAAGTTACCATACAAAGTATTACATATCATTATAGAAATTTTTAATACAATTGTTTTAGTAGATTATTCCTCTAGCCACTAAAGTTCACCCTTGTAACCTCCTCTTAGACTCTTTTCCTCTTTTATGTCCTCTGTCTCATCCTTCTTATCACCTATTTTTACCCTCAACAACTTTCGAGTTGTTATGGTTTTTTTTTTTTTAAGTTTTTAGCTAAAGTTACACTTTACATTTATATGGTGCAAGTATATAGTATAGATTAGGTGCCAAATATGAGAGAAAATACAATTTTTACTTTCTAAGTTTGAGACACATAAGTTATTACATTTTCTAAATCCCACT